CTCAGGATTTCAATTCTTTTTTCCTCGAGCAGCATGAATATACAGGTAAAATATTTCCAAGGTGTCATGGTAAGTAACACGTGATTGCATCCATGCCTGTCTAGGTAATGTAGACCAAGCTAGGTTAGCTACACTTTGCAGTGAATGAATCTCATAAATTCAATCCATGTATTTTAGACTGTTTCCCAAACCAAAAGTTGATTTCTAACTTTGCCGCGTTGTTCATGGCCTTTGGTTTGGTGGTACTTGGCTCTGCTCATGTGGTCACCAGCTGCAAGCTTTACCCATCAGCCACTTAGTTTCTGACATGCTGTCTATTGTGTAAACTCTCAACAAGCTTATTGCTGAAATTCAGAGTTTGCTGGTCAGTGAGCTCAGAGGTGCCGTGGCAAGCTGTCTTCATTTGTCCACATGTGCTTGGGCTGCTTCGGCCTGCACCATAATGTCCTGTGCTGTGTTGCAGAGCCGACGTGCCACCTCCCAGCAGTATCGAAGGTACTGCCCACGTTCCGAGAGAGCCCCAGCGGGAGGCTGATGCGGCAGGATCCAGTGGTTCACTTGTCTCCGAACAAACAGGGGCATGTAAGTTCACTGTAAAATAACAGGAGTGGTAGGTGCCTAGCAATGCACCTTCCTTGTGATGGCTGTGAAAATGGTACAGGTCTGCTCTGCTCTTCCTCCCACGTGGTCAAAGAGGAAGTCATCCTGGCGGAAGGGGGCCTTTGCTGTCCTGGCCCTGGGCTTTCTGCTGCCAACAAGGTTGCTTTGAGATAAATTGAAATTCCTCTTTGGTATGCACCTGCCACCCCATCATCTGGGTGAAAGGCCAGGTGATCCCGTCACAAACAGTCCTAAAATGTTATGAATTGAAGTGTGTGAGAAATGGACTTTACTTGTTAACACAGTTGCAAGCATGAGGTATGGTTGAACAGACAACTTCCTGACAGCTCCCCCTACTGCTTCTCTTATCTTTCAGAGCTGCACACATTTTTGTCCTTCACCATCATGGCACACAGTTCCTTACCACTTACCGGTAGAAAGGGGGAATGGAGGTCATCGTTTCCTCCCCCTTTCAGTGCAGTTGGTCTCTTTGGTCTGTCTGCTCACTGAAATGTGTGTTTATATTTATGTCATTCAAGAGGGTGAGGAAAGACTGTCTCATATTCACTAACTTACAAGATGCTCAGAGATGAGAGGGCTCCTCACAGTTTTGCTCTAATGAAATGAATATGGGAGCTGAAAACACAAGAGAGGAGCACGTGTGTGCAAGCACCCACTCAGGCTGTGTGGGGATTTACTGACGAGACGGGATGTTGTCACAGTTCTGCTTATAAATGGGAGATTGCCCCAGTCACTCTGTCCATTTCCCCACCTTCATTACTAATCGGTATATTGATTACATGGTAAAATAATATTTGGGATAGGTTGGGTTAGAGAAAACATATTAAACTTAATTTCACCTGTTTCTTTGTACTTTTTAAAAATTGACCACTAGAAAACTTAAAATTCCAGTGTGTTTCACGTACTGTTTCTGCAGAAATATGTTACGTACTTTTCACTCTCAGCCCATCTCAGTGCAGGCTGCCACGTGTAAGGTGCAGAGTGGCCACACGTGGCTGGGGGCTGCCAGTTCCACAGACAGGTGCAGGGCTGAGAAATTCTGCCCTCAAATACTAAAAATAAATGAAGGTCTGTAACACAAACGTTGTTGCAAAAAACTAGAGTAGCACTGGTAAAATAACTGGGATTGATTCTTGTTTAAGAAGGAGAGAGCTTTATTTTTGCAGTTTGAAATGAAACTTGAGTGTCCTCCTCCTGCCGCTATCCTCAGCAGACACACACACACACACACACACACACACACACAATTCCTTCTCTCCACTTTTCTCTTAAAATACTGTTTTATTCAGCTATCCTTGGAAATCTTATTTCTTTGGTAAACTACAAAATATTCTAAGTAACTAAGCTACTGTGTAGAAAGGGTTCTGTACTCATTTTATTAATTGAGATACAATTCACATACCTTAATATTCACTCATTTAAAGTGTACAGTTTAATGGTTTTTTAATATATTCTCAGGGTTGTGCCACCAGCACCACCATCTAACCCTAGAAAACATATCACCCCAGAGAAACCCTGTACCTCAGTCATCGCCCTGACTCTTCCCTCCCCTCCAAGCTCTTGACAGCCACGAACCTACTTTCTGTCCTTGTTGAAGTGTCTATTCTGGACGTTTCACACGAGTGGAACAAAATGTGTGGCCTTTTATGTCTGGCTTCTTTCACTCAGTTGTGCGTAATGTTTTCAAGAGTCATACATGTTGTAACGTGTCAGTACTTCATTTCTTTGTATGATAGAATAACAGTCCATGGTCTAGAAATACCACAATTCCTTATCCATTTATCAGCCGGTGGACACTGGGTTGTTTCTGGCTTTTGGCTTCATGAATAACGCTGCTGTGAACATGCGCATGGAAGTGGTGTGTGAACATGTTCTCATTTCTCTTGAGTCGACGCTGAGAGTGGGACTGAGCTGTTGGACATCAGCAGCCCCAGTTCCCATTCCCACCAGCAGTCCAGCCAGCATTTTGTCTGCCCCTTTGTGTATAGCATCTCACTGTGTGTGAGGTGTATCTCGTGTGGTTTTGATTGGCATTTCCCTAGTGACTAAAGATGCTGAGTATATTTTCATGTGCTTGTTGGCCATTTGTATATCATCTTTTGAGAAATGCCCATTTAAATCCTTTGCCCATGTTTTAATTAGGGTATCTGAAACATAAAAGTTTTTAATTTTGATGAGGTCCAGTTTATCAATTTTTTTTCTTTTTTGTGTGCTTTTGGGGTCATCTCTAGGAGACCATTGCATAATCCAAGGTCATAAAGATGTACATTTATGTTTTCTTCTAAGAGTTTTACAGTGTTAGCTCTTACATTTACTTCTTTGATCTTTTTGAGTTTGTTTTTCTATGTGGAAAGGATCCAATTTAATTCTTTGTGGATATCCACGTGTCCCAGCACCGTCTGTTGAAAAGACTGTTACTCTCCCTTCCCAAGCTCCCCCATTGAATTCACTTGGCACCTCCGTATACATCATACCTCTGAGCCCTCCTCAGAAAGCTATCTCCTAAATAGATGCGCACTGGGGAGCTCTCTTTAGGAATAAGTCTTAGGTTCTGCCTTCTCTTTACTCTGAGCACAGTAGGTCTCTTCTAATTTTAAAGCCTTTTGGAGGTGTCATTTTTTTTCTATTTTAGGATTAAAATATTGAAGACTAATAACAATTTAGATTTTTTTTCTGATTAAAATGACCTCAGTACTGTTCATGCTTTGGCATAAGTGAAATAATGAAAAATGGGTTCTTAAGAAACCATTTCCAGCGCTCTCTGCCATCGAGCCTTCGCTGGGTTTGTCCAGGCACCTCCAGCCGGACCTCGGTTTCCCACCATTAGAACCTTTGGCCTTGGACCCATCACTAGACACACCGCGGGTCGTTCTCCCTGTTGTTTTCCTGGTGTTCACGAGGCAGAGCCTGCCCGTGAGTAACTCTGCTTCCCCTGCAGCCTGACAGCCACTACTCGAGCCACTCCAGCAGCAACACCCTCTCCAGCAACGCGTCCAGCGCCCCACAGTGACGAGAAGTGGTATGACGGGGACCGCACTGAGTCCGAGCTCAACAGCTACAACTACCTGCAGGGCACCTCTGCCGACAGCGGCATCGACACCACCTCCTACGGCCCCAGCCACGGCAGCAGCGCCTCCCTGGGGGCCGCCACGGCCTCGCCTCGCTCGGGGCCCGGCAAGGAGAAAGTGGCCCCCCTGTGGCACAGCTCCAGCGAGGTCATCTCCATGGTGGATCGGACGTTAGAGGCTGAGAGCCACGGCCTGGACCGGAAAGCAGAGTCCTCCCTGAGCCTGGACATCCACAGCAAGAGCCAGGCCGGCTCCAGCCCTCTGACCCGGGAGAGCAGCACTTTCAGCATCAACGACGCCGCTTCCCACACGAGGTAACTGCCCTTCCCTGTGCCCCGTTCCCAGCCCGTCCTGAATCGAGTGCCCAGCCTTGTCCCACTTCACTTGGCTCTATAGTGTATAGAGCAGGGGGGAATTTGATGGTGGAAGAAAATCAGTCATGAGGTCTTGTCTAGTACGGCGTGGGCATGGAGTAGGCTCGGAAAGGGCTAAGCCTCCGAAGCCAAAGCACAAAACATCGGCCGCGCCATCTAACCAATCCGACGAACCCCAGGGGCTCTACCAAGCCCCCCTGAAAAGCAGGCACCTGGGATTGCATTTTCTGAATGTGCTGACCAGGACAGCCTGACCACCTCCGAGGATTACCCACATTTTCTGCTTTAGACTGACCATGCAGAAATTATTTAAATCATCCTGTAGAAATAACTCCTGTGTTGAAAGTCAAACGTACTGGAGAAGAGAAGAATGTAGCCTTGCAGGGATGGTGGCAGGGCCTCCCATCCACGGTAGGTGGAGTCACAGTCGTTTCTCGACTCTGGTAAACGGGATGCTGTGTGACTTCAGTCTGTTGATTGTGGCGGAGCGAGCTGGATGATCAGAGCCTCAGCAGCCTGCCTTTTCTGGAGGAAAGGGGGATGTAGCCACCAAATGCACATCTCTGGAGGAACCAGAATCACTGCAAATTAGAGTGTGTGGTCCCCGGAAGACAGGAGCCGCAATTAACAGGGAGGTCCCTTGACAGTGCATGAAAGCGCTTGTACCTGGGACTTGGTGACAAAACCCAAATTACAGTGATTAAGCTCAACTGTGTTTCTCCCTGGGCTGTGTTCCTGCCCACCCTGTCCTCCGGTCTCCCTGTTGACGATTGTGCAGGGTTTTTTGTGGCGCCCCATGAGAGCTGCATTAATGTAGGTTGGTAATTGCATAGGATTGTTCTAGTCGAATGTCATTAAGAGAAGCCATACACACCAACTTTCTACAATTAAAAAGTTTATTAATTGCTCTAAAGTGTTGCTTCCTTAAAAAAAAATGTTTTCTGTAGGGTTTCGAAAGTTAGGGAGAGGTTTTATTTTTTTTTTTAAAGTAGCTGTTTCACTTTCTAGTTTTAAAGTGAATCACACAGTAAAATGATTTGTGGTAAGCATAGGAGAGGCAAAGATACTTCTAACTTTAATACACTTTCACCAACTGGGTCACTCTTTTGCCAGAGTTCTAATCTTGGCTGTAGGCAGTGCCAGTTTGTGTGGTGATCATAGATTCCCTAGTCTAGTCCTGGTAACCAGTGGTATTGCCAGTGTTAGAACGAGGTTAAAGAATACACATTTTAAAGCTAGAAACCCCACCATGTACTTGCATATACACAGCTCTGCTGTAACGTCCTCACCTGACCTGGTTGAGTGCCCAGACTTCTGCATCCACCGCGTTAGCCAGCCATTCTGCCTCCTCGTGCTTCCATAGGTCCCTCAGGTAGCCAGTTAGTACCCTTATGTGATCACATACACACCTTACTGCCGTCCAGTTCAAGAGGATTTCCCACCCAGTATGTGCATCCTGAACACCTTTGCAGAGCGTGTGCCACTGTGAGCTAATAATAGTTGCTCAATTCATTTTGCTGAGCAAATAGGAATAACTTTCTCCTTAATGTCCCCATTTTTTGCATGATGTCTCAAGGCCCTTAATTAATAAACCATTTCAAACAGCATAAATCTCCAATTCCTGACTCCTAAAAACCACTATTACATTGCAAACCTTTTTGTGCAGAAGGGTCAGCATTGGCAGAGAGCTGCAGCGCTTTTGCAGATAGGTGTATTGAGAGTACACGTAAGGTCCTGCACAGCCTGACTTTTTAGTAAAGTCGTTTCTAAGTAAGAATTTTCTTTAATCTGCAAAATATAATAAGGAGGGACTTTATTACAGCTTATGTGCACACACCAACCCAATCTGGATAGAAGTCAGTCAGTGTCTGACCTTCCCTGGAGGGGCGGGTTAGAGGCCAGGAGAAATGCCTGCCCACAGTGGTCAGTGCAGTTGAGTTTCACGGGTGTGCTTTTTCTGGTTAACCTAATAAGTTAACTATTCACGCCAGAAAAACCCAATGCTTCCTGAGAGGAGGGTTGAAGAAGGACTTCTTTATATTTAGTTTACATGAACACAGAGGCATGTCTTGGGCTGCTGTGAGTGCCTCTGTGTGGGTACAGCTGGGTGGTTAGACATCCCTCTTTGGCATCCTACATATGTGCATCCCTTCTTGTTCAGAAATTACTCCATTGTCTTTAACATTTCTCTCTTAAATCTCTTCTTCCTGGAATTTTTTTTTTAATTGCTTACAATTCCTTGCCTCTCGTCTATATTTTTTAAGGTGAGAATATGGTTTTTCCAAGTTTTATGGGCTAATTCATAATTGAAGAGTGTAGCCTCTGAAATGACAAGCCCAGGACTTCTCTTCAACCTGTGGGGGGCCCAGCTCGCCTTACATCTACGGATCATGTTCATGGGTCATTTTTGCCTCGTGGTTCTGCACACAGTTAACAGGCAGGATTCTGTTTTAATTTGCAGCAGAACTACAGGCGATCTGTCCTAAGCTTTCTGTCTCCATTTCTTCCGGCTCAGGGGAGTGGGTGACTATTTTATCCAGAACTTCAGTGGTGTCTAGCTAACCTCAAAGATGACCAAACAGAACCACTGTAGTTGAAATTTCAAGTGAGCATTGAGAGAATGCGGCCTCGGTCAAGCCACAGATGTCAGGTTGCATGATGCAGAACTCACCAGCAGAATTAACATTGCTTTGTTCTGTGGAGCAACTAATCCATTTATTCAGTGGATAAGGAAAGCCCAGATTCTCCAGATGCCATTCCATCATTAGACCAGAAGGATTCTGAAAGGACAGAGTCCACCCTTGTCATATGTAAGCCATCCTACCCAGATGAGAATTTATCCATTGCTTAAAAGGATGTTACACCTAGCTCTGCTGTAACGTCCTCACCTATCCCATTGCTTCTTATGGGATGCTCTTAAGAAGAGAGGTTGCATAACCTTTTCTAAGTAATTTTAGTACTTAAGTCCTCTTCCTCTTCAAAATT